AACCCCTGACATTCTGTGATTCTGTGTGACCGGATCAAAGCATCTGCCTCACCCAGCACAGGTTCTCTGACTTGGCCAGTAACAGATGGAGAAGCTAAAAGGTGCCTGAACGTTTGTACCATGAGACCTAGTAAATTCCCTGTCTCTAAGTCATTCCTAATTCATTGCATTTCCTCCTTTTCGCCTCTCTCCAAATTACCATGCCCCAAGTTTAAGAGATGAACTCTTCACCCTCTGCATGGGAACTGTTCTGTACCTCCCGTATTTCTTCGTCCTTACTTAATTCTACTGTACACCTGCAGAGATGGGCTAGCCTGAAACTTATAAAGTATCCAACACAAGCACAAAGTACAATGATGCTTTCTGCTTTGCTCTCAGTAACTTCCCCAGAAGTTACCAGCACTGTGTTTGCCCTTCTGATCACTGATGAACTTTCAGTTCAGTTTCAGAGAAATTTCCCTTTCAAGCCACGAAAATTTAGTTTATTCTAGTGCTTGTGAGGAACTCTTATCAAGAACTTCTAAAAAACCACATGCACAATTATGATTGTGCATATGCTTGCTGAGTCTCTAAGAATCTGAAAGGAAAACAACACATCACATAAATCATACTGGCTCTTCCCTAATATACGCTTGCTTACTCACAGGCTTACCAATTCTCTTCTTCCCAGTACAGCCCTGCTACCCTGCAATAATTTGTAGAATAGCCCATGACAGTAAAAAATAAATAAAAAATGTAGCATTGCTCTTGACAAGCTTGCAAAAAGGCTCACTTAAGCTAGGATCTAGACAGATTCCTACACAGCTTCAAGGTGAGTACTGTTCAGTTGGTGGTAGTCTAATTTATTATCTCATTTACTCATCTGTTCTAAGCCATTTACTGATACTTCAACTCGCAGTATTTTATACTGCCCTATGGCCTGTCCATGGCCCTCTGAACTCTTCCACAACAATATGTGAAGATTGGGTAACACCTCGCTAACAGGGTCTCAACATAAACAAATGTTAACTAATGAAAACCTGCAAAAGGCTTTCGCCACTTCCCAGGATGCGCTGGCACATGTGAACACCAAAATAAAGTTGGGAGGTTCAGTAATCCTTTCAGTGTTTAGAACGGAAGAGCAGGCACCCTGGGTGAGAAGGTCCATCCAGCCCAGCACCCTGTCTTTGCGATGAGACAGGTGCGCACAGGGCAGTGGGTAAGGGCAAAGCTAACACAGCTCCGCACCTCCCTGCTCTTCCTCCTCGCCTTGTCCTACTGCTCTCGAAGTCTCCAGTCACTTGGGGCTCAGGGACTTCTTAAGCCAGAAGTGGTTTCTATGTGTTGAGAAACCTCCAGTGCTTTGCTCTTTCCTGAACCTGTCCCCATGAATTCTGTAAACTTTCAGCTTCTACAACTTGCTGTTTAGTTTTCATGAGCATGTGCCCGTTTTGGCTTTTTGCCCTCTAGCTTCTGAGTAAGAAAACAAATGCTTACTCACAGATTTCTATTTACCTTTCGGTCTACTTAGTTCAGTCCTAGCACATACAACTATTTCTTCTAAAGAAACTGTCCCATGTCTTCCATCTTTATTCCCATTTTCTGAACTCTTCTGAGATCCACTCTTATTTTTAGATGGTGGAAGGAAAAGCCTGACAAACCCTATAGACTTTTTAAAACATTAAAATACGCTAGCAACTTCATGCCCTTTGAATTTAGAAGCTCACCCTTCTCGCACGGGCTTCCCCTGTCTCAAAAGCTTTCCTACTTCCTAATAAATCTAGACTCTCTTCCGTAATGTCATTTTTTCAAGCATACATTATAATTCTGCCTAGCAGCCTAGCCCTGCACATGGCGTTCAGAACATTTAGAAACAGTTTCTATGGCAACTCTAACACCCAGGTTTTGCCCTCCAGGATTTCTACCACATCTCCTTATTTGTACCCATGAGCAAAGACCTCTCTCCTGTTCACCTAGGGTGGTCTCAGAGAGTCTGGCTGTCAGCACCTCTGCCCTCAGTGGTCAATTCACCAAGCAGCTGCATCACAAATTCAGCTACTTGTTCTAGTAAGTGAACCACTCTTCTTTTCCAAGTAGCCAGGCCACCAGCCTTCGGCAGGCTACCGCTGAGCAAAAGGATCCTCCAAGTAGCCAAAGGCAGGAAGGGGGCACAATGTGGGACCTAATTCTTACAACGAGAAATTATGTCAGAAATTCCTTCACTTTAGAAGTCGGGAGACTGCTAGGTGGGAATGGGACCTATTTAAACCAGCTCCAAACACCTTGTATACGTAGAGCCTGGGAAGACAGAGATTTTATGTCATCCATCTGGGCCCCACAGGAACGCTGTGGACCACAAACTGTTCTCCTTACCTGCATTCCTACACCATTTCCCCACAGGGCAGACAAACACAGACAAAGCACTCAGTGCTATAATGTAAGACCGTATAGGGAGCTCCCAAGTATCAATTCTAGCCAGCTGTCTGAAACCTGTCTATTGTAATCCTTTCACTGTGCCATAATGGAACGGGTTTCCGTGCAGCAGCTGTTATCTATTGCTGTCAGGCTGCCAGAATGCAAGCTCCGAGGTACAGCAGTACAAGATGAGGAAGCAGGATCTGGATTGAGCTCACGTAAACTTATGTACTCTGACCTAACGAACCTCTCCAGGCTGACCAGATGCTTCTCATTCCCACTTCTTCAGTTCCTTTAGCATTAATCGAGTAGACAACTAAGCAACGTGAAGCACTGACCCTGGGAAACTGGAGGACCCAAGCTGAACCACCCCCTGCAACGCACCATCCTGAACCATGGGAGGTTCTTGATATCCTCATTTTACAGTATTTTAGTAAATGTATTTTCAATATTTTAGCACTTACATGGGTTCAAATAATCTTTCAGCTTTTGCTGTATTAGGTTGATCTTAACATTCAACATGTGAAGGGCTACCGGGTATGATCTACTGGTTAATACAGAAGTTCCAGGGAATATAATAGACTCATAGAATGGCCTAGGCTGGAAGGGACCTTAGAGATCATTTAATCCAACCTCTCTGTCATGGGCAGGGACACCTCTCAACTAGACCAGGCAACACATGGGGACCGAACTAGCGTTACCATTTTTAATGCTGATGACTGTAACTATTTCAAGGAAGTGTAAAAATTCAAAAAAAGTCATGTAAAAGCTTAAGAACACAGAAGGCAGATACTGCAGATGGTTAAAAATAAGACTACCGTTTTTCTCAGTTTTCTTTGTCCTTTATGCATTCAAGTTTCAATCCAAGAGCAAGACAGCTACAAAGTATACATACCCTACAGCATGCTGCTCTTAAAAAATCAGACCTCTTGTAAATGGGGCACTCCAGCAACAGTAACAGAAAATAGGTGGGCAAAGTTCTCAGAACAGTGCAACTGAAAATACTCTCTTGAATCACCCCAAAATGACAGCATTCTACAACAGATCATTTTCAAAATACAGTATTTGAAACTATAATGGAACAAAAATAATCTATACACACAACAGTCTTTATCACCACTTGAATTTTAAGAATTGCAGTGATACATTTTGTAAATCTATTAGATTGTTAATAGTACCATAAGCTACACAGCTCTTAATTTTGGGAAGCATCTATTTCATCTACACTAGGAAGTACCAGCAGCATTGTCCTCATCTCTTCTGGTGCCTGTATACTATTGGCTCATAAAGTTTATCCTAAAGATTGTGGCAAATTTCTTAAAATTAGGCCTTTACATACCAAATCGAAACTGGCAATCACTTGATGAATAAATTTAATAATCAAAATGTATTCTTCCTACCTACACCAGTGGCCATTTTAATTTCTTCAAAACTGAATTCATCTCCTTCATTAAACATAAGCAACACTAATGTCTGAAAGAGCGATACTTGAAATTCTAAAAGAAATATCAAATAATTAGAAGCAATATTCAGAGCATTTTCTATTGTATCCCCCAAATCTGACAAGTTACAGAAACTATACATCCTTTTTTCTATTTCTAGAGGAACACATGTGCATTTTAAAATGCCTAACACAGAGAATAATCCACCTGAATGCAGTATTGCGGAAACAGGATATTTTTAAAACCTCTTTGTTTTGCTAACAGTAGCAATGCAGCACACAGCAGAAGCTTCTTAGAATGGCCATGTATTTACTTTATATCATTTACTTGATTTTATTTACAATATATGACATTATGGCTTTGCCAACATCAATAGCCAATCTCTTGAAACTTCATCCAAGTTCCACTTTATCAAGATGAGCAAACTAATACAAAAGAAATCTTGTTCTTGGATCAGATATGAAATATTATTAGTTTACTATGATACAGTGTGACAGGATTATTAGTAGCATAACATTAGTACAAACAGGCAATGGAAAGGAAATAAATAAGACTCTTCAGACAGATGTAAACACTTCTGTCAACCGACGACTACAAACCCATCCATCCATTACATAATGACTGAACTTCTAAGTTTCATATTCACAATGAGTTAGTAAAAGAATTCAAGGGTGTTTTTGTCTTTGCTCTGGCTCAATTAAGCTACATTATTAGCAAGGCAAGATATTTCATGAGACAAAACAAAACCACATTAAGAAACAATGTGGTTATTTAAGATCTAAATAATTCAACAAGCATTTAAATTTTAACCGCAGTCATTACATGACTAACACCCTTTAGTCTCTTTTTTTATCACTGAAGCAGACTAAAAGCATCACCAGTATTTCTATGATCAAAACAATACCATACTAAAAATAAGATGCTGCATTCTTAATCTTTCATTAATTTCCTGCTTTATTATAACTTTCTGTATTCCCATGAGTAACAATTCCTGTCAAATGAACTCAAATGTTACCAAAAGGTATGACATTGTTGTCTTCTGTTAGCTAGTCTTTTGAATTTCATTATAAAAAGCCTACTTTCTCTACAAAATAACAGTACTGAATTGCGATTTTTCCTCCACAAAAATGTTACTCCTGTTAGAGAAAATACAATATATGATCAGATTCCAAATAACTGACCTAAATTTTATCCCAACAAGTTAAGCACTAAACAAGCAAACTTACTTCCTTAAATTCTGCCTTTAGGACAGCATGCCCTAAAGTGGTCTGCCACTGAAGCTTTCGACCACTATGCTTTCCCAGGTAAAAAGTTTTAAATACCTCTTGAAGCTTTATCATCTGTGAAGCAAAGAGAAAAAAAATGTTTATTAGTGTTGTATCAGTGAAGTGATGTGGGATGATTCCACAGATTCTTTATTCTCAACCATGTTTCATAACTTACTATTATTATTTTTTTTGTTTGTGTGAAAAAAAATAAAATCGAAAGAGCAAAATCCGGCTCACGAGAACACTAGTACTGGTCCTACTGTTGACAAAAGAAAGTTGAAATTCAAAAATAGCTTTTAATTTTTTATTATTTTATTTAACCTCCATAGGACCATACACTGGTTTGGGTTGGAAAGGACCTTAAAGACAATCTAGTTCCAACCTCACTGCCATGGGCAGGACAAGCCCCATCCAGGCTGGCCTTGCACTGGTTTGGGTTGGAAAGGATCTTAAAGACAATCTAGTTCCAACCTCGCTGCCATGGGCAGGGACTTCTCCCACTAGACCAGGTTGCTCCAAGCCCCATCCAGGCTGGCCTTGGACACTTGCAAGAGGGGGCTACAACAGCTTCGCTGGCCAACCTATTCCAGTGTCTCACAACCCACATCATAAAATGTTTCTTCCTCGTATCTAATCAAAATCTACCCTGATACTGAAAACTGAAAGGTTTGAAAACATTACCCCCTACCCATTACTACCTTCCTTCCTTCCTCATCTGTCCTGTAGGCCTCCTTTAAGTACTGGAAGGCTGCTATAAGGCCTTCCCAGAGCCTTCCCTTCTCCAGGCTCTTCTCTCAGCCTGTCCTCATAGGGGAGGTGCTCCAGCCCCTTGATCATCTTCATTGCCCTTCTCTGGACCTGCTCCAACAGGTCAGTGTCCTTCTTACGTTCAGGGCCCCAGAGTTGGACACAGCACTACAGGTGGGGTCTCACCAGAGTGGAGCAGAGGGGGAGAATCACCTCCCTCAACTTGCTGGCAACCCAGCATGTGATTTGCTTTCTGGGCTGCCAGTGCACATTGCTGGCTCACATCCAGTTTTTATTTCACCAACATCCCCAAGTTCTTCTCCGCAGGGCTGCTCTCGATCCACTCGTTGCCCAGCCTGTGTCTGTGCTTGGGACTGCCCTAACAGAGGTGCAGAACCTTGCCCTTGGCCTTGTTGAACTTCATGAGGTTGGCATGGGCCCCACCTCTCCAGCCTGTCGAGGCCGCCCTGTGAGGCATCCGTTCCCTCCCGTGTGTTGACTGTACCACACAGCTCAGAGTCATCAGCAGACTTGCTGTTTGCTGGTTGGTTTGTTTATTTTAAACAAAAACAAAATACCCCCCCTGTAAAGGGTTTTAAATCTCCAAATAAATACTAGTTTTGTCCTGAACTTTGAATCTGTCTAAGAAGTCTCTGGACAAGAAGCATACATCTCACACCTCTACACTGACTAGCGCCATCTGCTCCCAAGGTCCTCCTTTAGTTTGCCCCATACAGATTAAAGTCCGATTCCCATACTTTATACCCTCTTACTTCCAAGTAAGGGGTTTTTACCTCTCCATTTTCATGGCATGTTGTTCAGGTTGGATTCTTCTGAAATAGGCTGCTACAAAGGAAAAGGCACTACAGGACTAAAAGCATAAAAGCTTCCACATCTTCTGAACTGCCCCTCTCTGAAGGGCTTCCCACAGTTAACATAAAGCAAAATATTGCGAGAAATAGGACTCCAAATACGTATTTCAACTTAAATCGCTACTAATAGCAGCTTTGCAAAAATCTCTCAACTTGAAACCAACCTTGTCTAAGGAAATGCCATTTAAATGCAGGGGCTAGTTTTGTGTGACACATTACAGGGAACAGATCTTACAGAAAAAAAGAATGTGCAGTAACATAGCTATTAGCCAGATCAAAATGCATAGTCAGTGTAGATAAAGATGGACTAAATTAGGGTGAACTGTCCAGTTTTAAACTTCTAAGTGCTTGACTGCAGTGTTAAGGATACTGATTTTTACACTAAATTATTATTATTAATAGTAATTATTATTATTAAAGGTAAAAAACCACATTAAGTGAAACAATAATCTGGAAAAAATGGATTTTACCTATTACATTTTATTTTTTTTCAATTCTGGAATCTTTAAAATAAATAAAACCCTTAAAATATCGAGCATTAAGAACATTAAGCAAAGTGTATTAGTTCAGCCTATGATAGTGACTATGATTTCACTCTGTAAAGTACATTTACAAGAAGAATTCAAACACTAACCTCTGAATTTAAGTGGACTTCCATAGGTGTATAAGTTGGCCAATATCCCATAGTTAATATATTTACTGTGAGGTCTATATTTCCTGGGTCACTCTGGTTTTGCATATACTAAAATGCAAGAGACAAAAATCATACAAATATACTATCTGCATGCTAAATTAGAAAAAAAATATATTTAAATTTGACATTTAAAATTAGTATCACAATAAAAAATTTCTACAGGCCACATCCTTGTTTAGACATTCTCTGCCAGGATTTTGAATGACCATCTAATGCCCTCTTCCCCAATTTCAAAACAGAACAAGTGGCTGGAAGTAAAAAGAAAACAACACGCCTTGAAGTATCCTAGACTACTGTCTTTCCAGGGTACTAAGGTCAAGGGCACTTCAATTACATGCTAATAAAGCACAAAAGAAAAAAAATAAAAGGCTTTTGATGAGAAGCCAGGGCAAGAACTGTAAGATCAAAAGTGTCCCGTGGAACTTCCACATTTGTTAGACAAAGCATTTGCCTAGAATTTGAGCATCAGTCAAGCCAGGCTGCAAAGTCTGGGAGAGAAAAGTCACCACAGTGTTTTATTACAGGAGCAGGTGTCCTGGGTCAGACCTGTACCCCCGTATCCTGTCCTCAGTAAGGCCTCAAAACAGGTACCCAGGGAGAAGGGCAACAGGCAGGTAAGCATATACAGTATTTCCTTCAAGCATTCTCTCAGCCACCAGCAGGCTGAAACTTTGGGGCTGAGACACACACAGTTTCTGTGCACTTGTAACCTTCAAGGAGTTTCTCTGGTGAGGGTAACTCACACACAATTCAGCAGAGCAGCAACAGTTTACAGAGTGAAGGAGTATGGACTTTAAAGGATGTCAGACAACCAAATTACTGTGTGCTATTTAAACTGTAGCTTACTTAAAAAGCAATCAAATAAAACTGTAAAATAAGACTATCTTTGAATAGAAATTCAGTAAATAAATTCTGTCCAATAAATAGAACTGTAAGTAGACGCTGTCACTATGACTAGGTCCTGCTCAAAAGCCCTTTTATTTAATTTTAGCTAAATCTAAGGTATAACACCATTTAGTACTTCCCCACCACTACTGAAAATTTAGTACACAAACAGAAGTCGAATGTACCTGCTTAAACTGAACCATGACATCTTTTGACAGTTCCATGTCCTTGAACATGCCCTCCAGTTTGCTGGTAAAAGCAGCACCACATTCTGTCACGTGAATTAAAGCAAAGATCCCACAGTTACAAAGAGGCACAGGACAAGCAATAAAGGTTTAACCTGAGACAGCTGAGCCAGATTTGCTGGGTTACAGAGCACGCACAAATAGGTACGTGTCTGATGGATTTTGCTCCTCTGTAGGTATGAACCAGCCACATATCTGAGAGGTCAGACCAACAGTTCTTACCGAGCACAAGGAAAGCTGTGATACGCTCAGCTGTTACTTAAAGTCTGGCCACTGGTCACTTCTTAAGCATGAGAAAGTAAGGATGCCAATTTCCATGCCAAAAAGTAATAAAAATGGAACTCATCTGAAAATGCCTACCATGTTTAAGCTTTGACAACATGGACTTCTCAGCATCTACTGATGCACTTTTTCCAACCAGCAGTCTTTTGGCCAAGTCTTTCTTATAAAATGCCTCAAATACATCTTTACCTGTATGGAAAATGAAGCAAAAATAAAATACAACTGAAATCATACATTCTATTTGCATCATCGCACTGCAGGTTTGTGACACAAGCCTTTCTCATGACACGTTGATGAGCAGAACAATATTTACTACACAACAGTGATGAAAAACATGCAGACAACTTGGTTTCTTTATATTTTGCAAATTTTTTACTTCTGTCTTTTTATTTTTTCTCCCCTCAGGAACATGTGCTGCCTCTTATTTCCCACTGGATCAGCTTCCAATCATATGAAATTATTCTGGTTTCCAGAAGAATATTCTCCCTCCAGTGGTCTAATTTATTAAAATTATTTTTAAAAAAAAAAGAAGCATTCCTACACACTGAAGAAATATCCTTTAAAAGCCTAAGGTGAAGAAAAATTGACAGAAGTCTTCTCACTTGGTTTGCCAATAGCCTTTTGACATAAAGAAGCTGTATCGGCACCCACAAACTTTCACACCTTATACCAGAGCTTCCACAAATCTTTCTATTGATAGTGTAAAGATAACAGCAAGGTCTTTCACTTTTAAGAGCAAGAAATTCACTGTAACTCAAGGAGCTGTCTGCACTGCCTACAGTAGCCCCTCTAATTCCTTGCAAATATATTCCAATGTAGTCATTTCTCTGAGAGCCTTCCTTCTTCTTCATCCTGCCCTCTGCTCAAATGCTGTTTCACGAAGCAGCATCAAGACACTATGGAAAAGTCTGATGCTCAGAAACTGACTACTAATTATCATCTGCTCTTAAAAGGACTCTCATGCACTAGAGAGCTTGAAATAAATTTCCACTATAAAAATATTTAGAGAAAAAGATTAGCCAAAGTTCCAGATTAACAGAAATTAACCTCTTAGGCTCAAGTGTTGCCAGTGATACTGGTTTCATTCACCATCTTCATCCAATGACCTTTGCATTTGACAAAGATCATGATGCAAATGATACTACCTTACAACTGACTTCTTGCCTGCTTTCACATTATATTTTACTGGTTTTGATTTTATGAGAAAATGACTCCACAGATCTCAGAACAAACTAATACAGAACTGGGGAGTTCCTATTTTGTCCAAGATACACATCCCACTTCTCTCAAAACAGTGACCACACATTCAATCAGACTCAGCCACATTTTTTACCCCCTGATACTCAACCTAGGAAAAAAAAAGAGTAAAAAAATTAACACATTCAAGGCTTTGCTCAGATAGGAACATACATAAAGGAAATATCTTTCACAGGCAGTAAAACACAGCAATAACATTTTCTCCCGCCATTCTGAGCCCTGATGAGAGAAGACAAGTCATTAGTTGATGGGCTTTCACATATTTTGCAACTATAACATACAGAGGTGAGCAAGGAAGAGAAAATCGGTACCAACCTTTCTGTTTTCTGTCATTGGAGGGGAGTTTGTAGTTACAGATACAGTTAATTCATGTGAAAAAACTACCAAGAGCTCTAACTCTTAGGTCTTCACTCACAGACTGTAAGAGTTCTACGACTTGCCAGTCTTCATAGAACAAGTTTGTCCTCCCTGGTGTATTTATCGTGCTCATTCAGATGTAAGGCAACCTGAACTTGAGACTAAGCTCAGCAGAAAGTCATGCTAAAAAAGACTTCTTACATTCAGAAGAATGCAGTTCTGCTAATAGCAAGGAAAGTGTTTTTAATTGCATCAATGGTGAACTGCTTTTTCTTACCATGAATGAATCTAAATATGATCATAATTTTGTCAAGGATTCTTTCCAGCTCTTCATCCGTTGCTTCTTTATTACCAGCTCTTAACTTGGAATCCACATATTTTGCTACAAATAAATGAAACAGTTTAAAAGCTTTAAAAAAATGTTAATCTAAAATAAACAATTAAGCATCTCCCACTTGAAATATTACTATATGTTAAAATACAAGTGTTATATTTTCTATTTTCCCTTTTCCCAACCCTATGTTCAGTGGAATGACAGAGCCCTACTGTACTACTGCCATAATGAACAAATATCACAAAAAAGAACCACATTAAAACAGATGCATTAAAATTAATGCAATGGATATTCCCATATTTCTTGTTATAGTCTTAGCAAGCACATTACTTGGTGAAAGACAATGTTTTGGAAGTGTACAACGCATATGAATGTATTTTATGAGAAACAGAAACAAACAACACAGAGAGGACTATACTTCTGTAGACCTCATGCTCCTTGGTAGGAGCATCTCAAAATTTAAAGAGAAGCAACACTCTCAAATTAATAGCTTCAGAATGCCAGAAATAAGGTTAAGCAATGAGTTTAGCTAAGTATTTATTAAGCCACATTAATGCGCTTATAGGACCTTCTGCATAAGAAGGAAACCTTTGCAGGAGCTGAAACTCTATGATCCACAAGTGACAGTAGACCCTATCATGGCTTTAACCTGTATCACTAGATTGTGCAGTTTGTCCTACATAAAGCTGGTTTTAGAAGGAAGACATAAAATAGTTGAATAAAGGCAAAAGAACATACAGAGGAAAAACAAACAACCAAGGAGTAAGATCCTCTCCTGGGGTAAAATGCTGCAGCTCCAGTTTTGCTGCAGACAAAACAGTCAGAACAGCTTTTGCCAGATCAGGAATAAAGCAAATAATAGATGTTTCTATTACTTTTCCCCTTACTAAGCACTAGTTTCCCCGTCAAGACAAGAAAACCTTTTCTCTATTAAAACTCCTTGTATCGAAAGGCTTTAAAATTCCTCTCCCAAGACCAGTCTTCAAGGCAGATCGATAGGCTGCACTTGGTCCTTTCTGAGAGATTCATTACACCCCAAGAACTCCCCTACTACCACGATTAAAAATAGCTCCCTTTATTACCTTTTTTTATTCCCTGCTCTCCAGCTACTCTTCCCCCTGACCATTTACTCCACTCGTAGCACCAGCGTTACGCTCTCGGAGCAGTTGTTAGCACCAGGCACCGTGCAAGCAGCAGAGCGCAGGGACAGCAGGAGGTGACATGCTCCCTCGGGGCACCTGGCAGCACACCCAAGCTTTCTGAACGCGCAACGCTCCCAGCTTCACTTCTGCCTCGCATCCCGAAAACGAGTCTCCTAAAGCAGAATGCGTACTGCATCGCTATCACAACTAGCACACTCAGCGGCATTATCTTATCATGCTTTCTACAGATTTTTAAAATATTTTTACAGAAAAAATATTTGTGTACCTATCAATTCTGCAGGCTTATTTGGTCTCTTGTTGATAAATGTTTCAAAGGACTCCTTCATCAAGTTTATAAATTTTTCATTTTTCTGAAAGCACACTTCTATGATATGGTCCACTTTATCCTTAAAATCTAGTAGCTCTTGCACCATATCCTTGTCTTTTTCAGGATTAACCACTATTGTTGTCCCAAAGTTCTGTAAAACAAACACTTTTGATAATAAAATACTTCAGAGCGCTACCTATCTCCCCCAACAGACACAATTACCCTTACAAAATTTATCAATAGAAAGAATAATTTTTTTTCCAGAGCTACTTAGGTGACTTCTAATTTTTAAAAAATGAGATGCATTGAAATTTAAAATAAAAACCCAGACACACGTTAATGGATTTCAAACATTAGTGTTTGATTTAAAGATTATATACATTTAAGACAAAAGTTAAAAAAAATAAAAAGAATTACACAGCAGACATGACCGTATGATGTGCAAGTTTACAGTTAGATACAGAACTACATGATTCACATGAAAGAAATCAGACAGAAACTGCCTCAGAATTGTTAAGTGTAGTGGAAAACTTTGCACTATTTTTCCTTAAATCCACCAGGAGATGGAACAGGTGGCAAAAATTCAACCACTGCTCATTACTCCAAGATTTTTCCTTCAGCAAGGGCTTAAAAGCAAAAAAAAGACCTAGCTGACTTGCAATAAAACAAAACTTTCCCCTTTGCAAGAAGCAGTCACAGACTTTATTTTCTTTTTTTGTTCCTACATTTATTATCTTAGAGTTATAGTGCCATTTTCTAGTGAACCAAAATATCCTGTAAGGAAGAATTTTAACCTATCGGACAATTTACAATTGTTTAGTAACACCAATCAGTGCCCTAGACAGAACGACCAGTTTGCCAAGGTGAGAAAGAGGAACATCTGCACAGTAACAACACAACAGCATTCAATTAGTATATTTGCATCAACTGAAGTATGTCAGCCACGACAGTCAGAGAGATGGGGAAATCCCTCCCAAATCTCATAATTTCCACTTCAATATCTGCTGTGATCTTTCATTCAGATCCTTCTCAAGTAACACTTCAGAGTGAAGCCAAACACCAGGCTGCCCAAGGTCCTGAGATTCAATGTGCTTATCACAGAATGGTTTGGATTGGAAAGGACCTCTGAGGCTCATCTAGCCCATTGTAGCTTACACTTGGCACAATTTCCCCCTTTGTTACCACAGCATTTAGACATCTCACAGTATCAGTTACGTTCATAATTGCAGGGCGTCCCCCCTATTCTGTAAACAGCAAAGTGAGACACAGAAAGGTAAGTGGCACCTCTGAAACCATAAAAAGGTGACTACAGTAGAGCACAGACCTTCGCTCCGATAACTTGGCACATTCTCTGTGCTTCTTCCTACAACGGCTCACAAGATAAAAGTTCTTGAAGCCTCAGTTAAACGCATTTTGTCATAAAGAATGTTTGAAAGGAGGAGATTTACTGATACTATAGAAGATTCTTAAAAAACAAAGCCATAAAAGGTCTGATTCTGCAAGACATAGGGTATAATAGCCAACTGAACAACTTGCTGCTGTGAGAGCTTCTGGTCCTCCTCCCCTTGTTTTCATACCTGTCTGAATTCCCACTTTTTAACTTGGGCCAGTGCATAGAGTTTTCTGTGACCCTCTTTAGCTCACTAAACTGGGAATAAAACTGACCTCACCCAGGTACCGTGTTAAAACAGATCACAGGAGAGTCTATGGAGTGGCAGGCAGAACAAGGGTTACGGCAGGAGCATGAACTGGGAATAAGGAAGATGAAAGACGTTCCTCCTCAGCCATGGCAAGCTGTTCAATTGGCCCAGCTGCCTATGGATCCATGGGCTGCATATGGGGACACTGGAGGACAGCAAACTTCATCTGAGTTCTGGGCGGCAGAGGGGTGAGTACGTCCCTCTTGCCACAGGCTGCATGCTGGTGGATTGTGCCAAACTCCAGACACGTGTGTGCAGGGAAGGCATCACCTCTGAAATGAACTGATGTTGTGCACTGCATCCTGAAGACTGGTGAATACGTGGGCAATTTGGGGGAGAGCCACCACATAGGGAATTAGCAACTCCAAAGAAAAATAGCTCCTGTGAAGCTTTGCTCCCTTCGTCTTGCAAGAGCATCAGAGTAGAAGCTCTCCGGGACAGCATACTATGTGTGTATTATGCCTAGCAAAACAAACTTGAAGCATCTAAACATGCTTCGAGTTTGATGACGGATGATTTTGAAGAGGAGCATTCCCTTCCAAACAGCTTAAACATACATTAGCATCGCTGCAGGTTGGTTACATGTAGCACTGTGAATCTGCAGAATGGCTACGTTCTGATGTTTCACTGATTTTGCAGATATGCAAAGAGTTGAGTGTATTTGTAGCAAAACACAACACATAGTACAGTCCAGCACACCCTGAACACATGTGCATGTGGGTATATTTAAACGTAAAGCAAACCAAAATGACTTCTTGTATAAAGTTCAAACCTATGAAGCAAGTAATTTTCAAGTTGAAATTTAAAGCTAAAACTCAGATGTTACTGTTTCTCATCATGTGACTATTACTGGGGAGCAAAACATTAACAGCCCTACCCATACTTGCTTAAACCAGAACTTTGATACATACACCTAAATATTACTCTTGGTTTTGATAGAAGAAATATGTAACGGCATAATTTTTGACATGTGTAAGAGATCTTTGAAATACCTTGATGTATTCACTCCAGTGCTGCAAAAGGATCTGTTGCCCACCTTTTACCCGGCTGAAAAGTTGGTATGTCTGGGTCAAATCTGATATTCTATTTTCATCAAGCAGGTTATCAAGCCCTAAAAAAAATAAAATTTTAAAAAACAGACAAAAGAGAGAATCTGAATACAGCTGCATAAATACAGTTAAAATATATTATAAAAAACCTCTATGAAACATGTCAAAAGATAACACCCTCCAGTGTGCTTAAGAACTATCAAATTTTTAAGAGTAAATTTCTGAAAGCAAGTCATATGTTCAGGCTTTACACATTCCCTTTTTCAAACTGGTTGAAATGACTCATAGTATAATATTTTAAAACTATTTCAACTGAAGTACTTTCCCAGCAAGATCTTAACTGTAAGCCTTCTGCAGAAGGCTTATAACGGTGCTTGATTTGAAGGGTATAGTTTTATCAAGAGCCTCTAAAGGATGTCAAAACAGTAAGCCAAGTAAAACACCCCAAATTTAAAGTAGAGATAAATACTTTGCAAGATTTTTTTTTCTGTGGAGCACAGTGAGCCATGTTTTTAGATTAAGAATGTGCTCTGAATTGTCTACGCACATACTGACAGAGTAACACAAGACTACAAATTCCTTCCAAGCAACTTCTGCCCTTACTGATTCACTCTACGTGAGACAAAACTTTGGACTAATGAAAGGAGAACAAAAGCTCAAAACAAAATGTGAAGCATACAACAACTAGGTCCACATTTTTACATTAGAGAATATGCTGAATGTAGTTTCAATGCAGAGATACATTGCCTAGGGTTGGTGACAGAGGCTTTAGTAATATGGGAGGGTAGCAGCCAAGACTTAGGGCATTTTTTAAATCAGAGAGTCACAGAATGTTACGTGTTGGAAGGGACCTCAAAAGATCATCTAGTCCAACCCCCTGCCAGAGCAGGATCACCTACAGTAGGTCACCCGCATCCAGGCGGGTTTTGAATGTCTCCAGAGGAGAATCCAGAAAGCTTCATTATACACAGGCTGACATCATCAGTATAGCTGACACGGCACAGATGTCTTACTTCACAAAACAGACTTCATTAATCCAAATTTTTAAATGGTATTACATTACAAAGGATTTTTAATCACTAGTGGATTATTCCATTACAGTCCTAAGATGTAATATCTAGAAAAATGTACAAATATCTCCATATTTACATGGATGGTACATAAACATTATAAATCAAGAAAAAGTTCAGGTTAAAACAAGACCACATAGTTTCTGCTTAAGCCAACTGATAAATCTGAATTAAAGAGCAACAAATTTGACATACCAACAAAAAACTCCACTATTCTTACCTTCTATTTACAATAACCTTAAGAATAAGATGGAGCGACCATGCTTATTTTTTATGTGTATTGAAAAGAGTAAGATAACACATTCCCAGATAAGATCAGAGAAAACTGTGAGCATTTGTCTGTCGTTAAATGAGACGATGAAAGAAATTAAAGGGGTATGTATAACAACCTGAAAGTATTAACAAACATGGATATGATGGAGCTCAAAGATCCTAGACTACTAGGAACATCTGTTCTGCAGCAGTAAAGGAAACAAAGCTGTAAGGACAATTTACTAGAAGATCTACTGGCAGGAGAAGTAAAAGATCATCTAAAGTATTAAACAATAAGGGAATACTGACTGAACTCAGAAATTCAGTGAAAAAGTAGAGATCAAAAGTTAAGAGGACCAAAAAATGGTGATTTGAAGACACTAATGCCTGAATAAGGAGACTAAGAAGACTGCAGCTCTTATCTGAAACTGCCAGACAAAGGTAAAATACAGACAAAAGCACATGAAAGTTCATTGCCTTGGAACGTTGTCGGTTCCAGTAACTCGTGATTCTTGAACTACACAATCACAAGAATCTGTGAATCTACTGTACGTGAGCAGTGGGATTATCACATAAAAGAAGCTACGACAGTGACTGAAACTCTTGTTTAAAAATTTATATAATTCTAGGAAATAAACAGTTCCAAAGGTTTAATTCCTAAGCCCACTGCTGCAAGTAAAAGGAGATTTAAGGGGTTTAGCAACCTCTACAAATATGAAATATTTTAGATATTTGTTTCCCTATATAAAATTTACTTGTCACAGTGGATCTAAGTCATAGGGTCAGCTTTCTGGATATGTAGAAGTTTTTCCCATGGCTAGTATGCCTCCTTAAATAAAAGCTGTGGAGTTTATAGTTATTGCAGAGTATGAGAATCTGCTGCTTATTAGAGATTACATTAATTTTAAAAGAATACCTTTTTGCAAAATAGCTGCTAAGTGTTCTCCTAACAGCTGTTTCTCCACACAAGCAATCAGTGGTTTCCTAAAACAGGCAAGAAAAGCATATTAGATGATTATAAGGGAATTGCCTCCTGTCACAGTGTATTTGTGAATAACTTGCATTACAATACAAAAGAAATATCAACTATTTTCTACTTAAAACAGTGGCTACAAGTTAAGACAAAAATGTCAGATGTGATATAAACCTAGAAAGAAATCAATAAACCATATACGTAATTTAAAAAGAAATTAATGTTTTGATACTAAAAAGCAAGTACTTACGCAGTAGAACAAAGAAGCTTAGATACCAAAAATCAATACAGAAACATTTCTGGAAGAAATTGACATTTTCTTGGAAAAAAAACAAGCAAACAAAATAAAACAAAACCCTACAAGGGTTTGAACTCCAAATCAAGACAGCATATGCTAGTGATGTTCAAAACTCAAAACCTTTAATCTAATTGTGTTATGGACCTATATAAACCTATGTTGAGCTAGAACCACAAGACTGAAATTTGCAAAACATTTTAAATTTGTCCTCGAATTTTCCTTACTTTTGAATATGAATATTTGTTTGATACATTGACTTTAGACAGGAAAAGTTTTCTGGTTTACCTTTTATAGTCTAAAAGAAAGAATTGCCTCAAGCGCACAAGGATAATAATTTGAACATTTAAAAATCTATTGCTGCTTACAATATGACAGCAAAAGACTAACTCTGTGTTTATAAAACTAGTTCTTAGACCCTTAATTTAGATTTTAGTGCTTGACTCTTACTGGTGGAAGCCTTTTATGTAGCAGAATCCACTTTTGTCCCCATCTTTGCCAAAACACCACCTTTCCTGAAACAGCCCAACTTGCCTGACCTTACATACAGTACACTGGTTTAGTGCCTTCATCTCAAAGTTAAATTAGAATTTGGAAAGGCTCAAAGGAGGGAACATGGATGATCGAAGTATGCAGCATCAGCTACAATGTATACAGTGCATTGAAAGGCAGGGAAAAGGTGAAACTGAATCATCATTTTTCCCTTCCAGTGCAAGAACTGGAAGCCAGACTTAAACCAAAGGAGGCAATTTATCACACAGTGACTAGTGCACCAGTAGAACCCTTCGCCAAAGGCCAGAACAGATACTGAAGCTTAGGTGAACCCCAGCGAGACAGTGCAAGTATTTGAAAGAGATCTAAACAGGCAAATCACATCATGTTCAGAAAACATCCCGACCCGAAGGCAAGCAGATACAGGAGAGTATCAGAGCATCAGATGTATTTATTCTTTCGCTTCTGTGCTGGTTGCGGCTGGGATAGAGTTAGTTTGTCCTGCTATGGGGCTGTTTCGGATTTGCGCTGAAAACAGCACTGATAAGACAGGGAAGTTTTCATTATGGCTGAGCAGTGCTTGCACAGCATCAAGGCCTTTTCTGCTCTCCACTCCACTAGCAAGCAGCTGGGGGTGGACAAGCACTTGGGAGGGGACATAGCTGACCTCAACTGGCCAAAGGGATATCCCATCCCAGACCATATGACATAGTGCTCAGCATACAGAATTAGGGGAAAGTGAAGGAAGGGGGAGATGTTTGGAGTGATGGCATTTGTCTTCCCCAGTCACCATGACACGTGACAGAGTCCTGCTTTCCTGGAGATGGCCGAACACCTGCTGCCTGTGGGAAATGGTGAATAAATTCCTTGTTTTGCTTTGCTTGTGCAGGTGGCTTTTGCTTTACTTAAACTGTCTTTACCTCACCCTATGAGTTTTCTCACTTATATTCTTCTGATTCTCTCCCCCATCCTACTAGGGGAGAGTAAGCAAGCGGCTGAGTGGGGCTTTGTTGCTGGCTGGGGTTAAACCATGACACCTTCTGTGGTTGTAAGCGAACATGAAATACCAGTTAGACAGACCCATGGTCTTAACATATATGGCCATTTTTACGGTCACCTCCATATTCCCTGAAATTTCCAACCACTGCTATCTATAGCTGCTGACTGTCTCCACCAGCAGAAGGTTCTACAAAATACCATTCTTTGCCCAGGAAAACCTATTCTGCCTCCAGGGGAGATGAGAGCAATGCATCTGCTTGAGACTGAGAGGCAGAACACTATTTCCTAAAAAGCAGACAGAATGAGTATTTTGACCGCCAGCTAATAAATGAGCCTGAAGGGACCTTCTGTACAGCCTCGAAGCCACCTACCTCAGCCATCTTCTGACTGACCTGGAGATACGCTTATTCTGGTCAGGTCTCCAGAAAGGCACGTACTGACAGGCAGAACAAACCCCTCCGTGGGCTGCAACAACACACTCTCCCCGTGTTGCATAAATCTGGTTTGAAGTACTTTGAATGGTGTTTCCTGTGATAGTTTTGTCCTGGAAATATCACTTCCACCTCCAGATAAAATCCAGTAACTACCTTTAACATCCTTTCTGCAATTTTCAGGCACACCCATAGAGACAGTATCACCTGAGGACAACTCAAGAGAGCTAATTTTAAGAACTCCTGTTTCCTGATGCAGAGAAAGGAAATTAGTGTGAAGCTTTCTAAAAGTCGGTTTCTAAGCCTTTAACTAAGGATGAGATTCAAAGCAAGGACCTGATGTACATCTAGGCTGAAAAAATAGTATCAACCTATTTTTTAACTTAAATAGTTAATATGCATGTGCTTTAACTTTATATATAAAAGAAGTTCCACATATTTTAATGTGAGTGACTTTGCCAGAAAAATCTAGCCACACTGCAATCAGCATTTACAGGAAGAAGATTCAAGTTGTGTGTCATTACACACAGTACATGTATGAGTATACATGTATAAAATATGTCTGAAGAAAATAAAAAGATAATTTTGAGTCAGTTATACTTCTAACATCCAATGAAATGTCAATATATCATCCAGAAAACTGAAGTAAAGTGTTATGTTGTTTATTAACTGTGATGTTATTTATTAAAAACAAAATGCAACAGCTTACTGCAGGAGAAATTATATATGAATTTATAGTGTGTCATTGACTCTGCAGTACTTCCTGAACACACATTCTTAGCCCAGCAAAACACACACTATTACTCAACACCCAAGTGAAACAAGAACCAGGTGCTGGCACAATACCTTCGTTGCAGCTATATCAAAGCTAATCTACTGTTAAGTCCACGTCCTGGACTGCTCACAAGTAATGCTCATGTCCTTTTGCCCATGCTGTGATTTAACTCTTTCATCTCTTATTTTTTTGCCTAATGCATCTTTCTTTCTCTCATGGGATTTGTGGCTCATGTTGTTATGAGTATATGAATGGCTAAAATCACCTGCTACTTTGATAATGCAAATTTGAGGTTTATATCATGGTTTTTTTAACTTCAGTATACACTGATAAATCTTTCTGGACAAATATCTCCCCTCTTCCTGGAAGTACATTTTGGTTTTAAATAAATCAGTTTTGATAATAATAAAGTCTTTAAAACACCTAAGCTGTATCACACACACTGTCAGCAAGATAATGTCTGTAAGATAGTGCAGAAAAAAAATCTTTGTCTCTACAACCACAGATAATCACGCTGTTTTACAAGGGATGCTTGCTTTATACCAAGAATGACAAAATCTGTACTCACTGTGTGCTGTGGTCTAAGTATGTTATTACTCTGTCTCCTTCTTCTTCCAAACGTTTACTAACATGGTGAAGGTATTCTGGGACCTAGGAAGACAAAAGAACATCAAGTTCAACTACAAAGGCATGAAAGGCAGATAATCTTGTTTCATAACAATTATTTTGAACTACAAGGATAAAGAGAATACACAATGAAAAGGACTATTCCACCAGAATGTTATATACTACATAATGTATATTTTTATTAATCAATGTTACTTCATATTAAAAGTACTATAACCACATCTGACAGAAAGAACAACAGAAAGCTGAGAATTTTTCAGAGGGAGTTAATTTTTTATCAAACCCCTTCTGCACTAAGCTAGCCCTAGTATCATGAAGCAGATTTTCAGTTGGCACCAACCATAGAGTTCTATTATTTCAACGGCAGCTTCTCCAGCAGAGTATCTGTCCCTGTGGTGAGTTCACACACTTAGCCTGTATTACAACTCACATATGAAACTCAAGCTTCAAATGATCAAAACAGTTAAGTGTACGTGCATGTATATATGTGTGCACACACATATTCATGCCCATATGTGTATGTATTATGTGCATATGCATAAGTACATACTGTATAATTTAGGGCCTTACTCCTTTTGTGGTTTTCCACAGCCTTCCACTAAGCATGGAAAACGGTTGTAGTGACTCAAGTGTTAAAATGGAATTAATAAAGACAGTCTCCTGGATTTCAGACCATCAAGAAACATATATTTTCAGAGATTACCACATTTTCAGGCTGCCCACTGCAGAGTATCATTTTATCTCAACTGGACAGAAAACAAAAATGTCTTAATTCTATTTAACTAATATGGAAAAAGCCCAACAAAACAGCAAAAATAAATGCAACAAAATAGTAAAAAGTGAACAGTTTGCTTTGGTATTAACTACATAGTAAAATTATGCCAGAGGATATTTTACAACTTGCGGGCAAATATATCAATGGCACACCTTTCAGCTTTGTGTCTAAATGATCTTCTGGTAATGTGAATTTAGCTACACAAAATATTTCTGGGTTTCTCCACTCTTAATTAGATATTTCAAACACCACGGCAGTCTGGAGTCTGCACTTCCCTTTGATACAGTACTGTGGTCAACATCAAAACATGTCAATGTGTACGTGTGTACCTGGGTACGAGTAAATTTAACTGAACAAAGCCAGTCATCTGCAGCATGCACCTACCTCTCTTTCTTGCATTAATCTTTGGCCTTCTGCAGCGTATAAGCAATTTGTCTCTTCCAGAAACCTCTGTTCAAATGATTCCTTGTAAACCTGCTCAAGAAATTAATTTAGTTACTTATACTAAGCTGCCAGCAAGGACAGCATATTTTGGCTGTCAGGCCTGGAGGGCAAGTAAAATCTCAAGAATGCACACAGTTCCGAGAAGTGTCAGAGCAGCATAACATTAACACAGAAGTTCTCTGTTTGTCCCGCTGGTTTCAGAAAGAGTTATCAGAGCTGACTTCCCAGTGCAGCAATAGCACATTTCAGTCATCAGCACTCAAATCATCTAAACTGACATGTTTCTGCCAAAGGCACAGAGCCCAAGACCAGCACCCAACGTCACAACACAGCGACGACATCCAATCCACCTGAGCTCAAGACTCCCACTGATATTTCTGCAGAAAAAAAATAATTAAATGCTTCCAACTAGTGCAACATGAGCACAAAACAGGTAATTCCATTAGTAAAGTAACAATGCACTCGGTAATGCATCCTCAGATCTGCCAGATTTATCTCAAGAGCCCAGGAAAAATTAATTATACCAATTAGGTGAAGTATCATTCTCCAGCGAAAGAATAAGTTGTGTAAAAAAGGGCACCACCAACAAGCATAGACATTGAAAAACATCTGCATAATGAATTAAGTTTAGTATAGAAAGGATGTAAGTTAGAAAGGATAAGTATATAAAATAGTTAAAACAGCCTGAAGAAGGTAACTAGGGAATAACATGCAAACAGAGGGACAGTTAGTGTAAAGAAAAAGGAAATATTCCTTCAGTGCAGTGGAAGATCAGAGAAAAATATTTCTTACAAAACATAGCAAAGCTGTAAAACTCACTACATTCTGATCATTTATTTTTCTCTTAAAGACCTTTCAAAGTTTGATTTTTTTTTCCAGTGTAAGCTTAATCTCAAAATCTTCGGCTTGACAAGCAGTCAGAGCATAACGGTTCACTAATTCAGCATCGCTAGTAGGCTCATTGTTTCAGTTTTCTCTATACACTAGCTCCACGTCCAACAGAATCAAATTCTACTTTTTATTTCTTACCTTCTTTTCCTTCAGGATAACTAGAAAAACATTGATGTAACTGTATACGGAACTATCTTCTATACAAAACACACACAGCTCTACAATAGGAAAAAGCCATAGAATAGGATTTATGCAAGCAGGAACCACCTTTCAACAGCTGGGCCTCAACTGCAGGAATCAGGAATGAGTAAGAGAATAAATGTTTTCAAAATGAAATGTAAGATTTGCTTAATTTACTGATTTTTCTCCAGAAGCTAACTTTTGTTGATAGAGGCAGAAGCAGAGATCCTGGCATGTAATTACAGGGTTATGAACGCATCTCTATCTCAGTGAAGCGATAGATGTTGTGAAAGAACAGATTAGACCAAGTTAGTTTCCCTAGTGAAAAAGGAAAACTACACTTTTGAGCCAGTGAAAGAGAATGCATACTTAAATTCAATTCTATAAGAAGGATCCAAAAAAGAGGAATGTTTATCTTTGATTAGCAGAGTACTTTGCTAAAAAAAAAAAAAATGATAAAAGGTCAACACCTAGAAAAAGCCGATGCAGTTAGAAAAACTGGCAAATAACAATGTGGGAAAAAAGGTGGGAAAAAGCACACAAACCAGATCCACACCTCCACATTATGTGATCTGAAAAACCAATGACCAAAGTTTGCCTTCTCTCTTCAACAGAATAATTAGTTGTTAATTTTTCTGGTACATTAGCGACAGTTACAGATGAAACTCAGGAGGGTTAACAAGAAAGGCAGAAAAGTAGGTAAGCTGCCCGACCCAAAAGGACTATCTATCCAGTTCTCCTCTTCAAACTCTCTTTCTGTTTAGTCACCTAGCATCTATGCTAATGGAAAGTCCCACCAAGCTAAAGATTGAACTTGATCTATTTGAAAACCTTGTTCTTAACTTTGCATCCCACTCTATCCTTGGCACCTCTGCTAAGAAGTTGCCAATACAGTGACGTTTGACACAGACCCAGGATCTAGACTCCAAGAAGTGACACTTCTTTACAGTGACAAAGGTGGTTTTTTTGCTCCTACATTTAATTGGTACTAGGATTAGAAAATAAGTGATTAAGACAGACAAAATATTGCACATACTGAGACAATTCACATCGATTATTTAAAAGTCCTTAGGTCACTACCTTTCCTGAGGCAAAGAGGTCTCATTCTAAAACAAAGAAATAAATATTGCTTATCAGGTAAAGAAGAGGCAGTCTTATCAATCTAATACCTAGACTTTGAAACACATTTACCAGAAGAATAGAACTATTTCTGTAAAACACATGCATTAGAAAAGTCCAAACTGTTTATAAACATAGCCATTATTAGTCAAGTCTGCTGCACTCACCTGCAAATCAGACAGCATGCTCAACAAACTCCGCAGCAAACTTCTGTCCACAGCTTCACCGTTTCGTTCTCGTTCGATCAGCAGGAGGATTCCATCAATAGTCTTGTTTTGAACTTGCTTGTCACTAATGACATGATTTCTAAATAACTCTAGCCCCATATCCCTGTGTGAACATTGAAAATTAATAGATCACGCTGTTTGTTCTTCTCAAAAATCCGTATCTCGGTTTGAGAAAAATACATATAAAATATATGGAGCGTGTATATATATTATACAGAAAGCGAATATATGCATGTGTAGACATGGCACTTCAGGATGTGGTTTAGCAGTCATGGTATTGTTGAGTTAATGGCTGGACTAGATGATTTAGAAGTCTTTTCCAACCTTAATGTTTCTAGGATTCTATGGGTTGTATATGCTTTTTGATACTATCCACTAAGAAAACTGTAACAAGAACAATCATAAAAATACCAGGCAACATGTTACCAGATGCACACACTTCAGCTACAAACTCTGATCAGCTTGTCTTTATCTCATATAATAGGGTATAACAGTATCTGTTTATTAAGAAATTACTATTATTATAAAAAATTAAAAAATCCAAACATATATCTTAACACAAGGTTCCCTGGATCAGTCAATCCAGTTTTGTCCCAAAGTATGAATTCTCTGTATGCTTAGGACCCTATGATCACCTCTATCAGATTCTTGTTTCATTCTAAGAGGATGAGGAATGGTGCCTTTATGCCATGAAGCAGCCAAGGCCAAGGAAAACAGAAGAATCTTAAATAAAACTTCTTAACTCCAACTTCTTCACACACATCAGGATTTCAATACAAGGATTTTTCCCGGTACGAGGAAAAGAACGCACAAAGTATGAACAGACCTTTTCAACAACGTTTAGCAAAAGGAAGCCTAACACACAGAGCTGGAGGAAAACTAGTGCAGAGGTCGGGAAGAACGATGTCCATAGGACAGGTGAGGGGTGGGAGAAGGATACCACATTCCTCAGACAGCCCAAGGAACTCCCAAGAGCACAGAAGCCACCCAGGCAGCAAAAAGGCACGCTTTTACTTCAGCATTTTATCTAATTTTTTTTTTTTTTGCTTTAGATGCAGCAACAATACCAGAATTTTTCAGCAAAGTCTGGGTTTGTTTGCTTGTGCAATGGTATAAAATGCCCCTCAGGAGAGATGCTTAAAAGCAGAATGCCCGAAGACATGACCGTGGTGTGCTGAAAACACAGCAGCACCATCTCAATGCCACAGGTCTAAACTCTCAAGAAGCCAGGGCTGAAAAGATGATCTGCCCATTTGTCAGTATACCTTGACTTATTTAAAAAAACCCAAACAAAACAATGGAGCAAGAAGTTGAGTGCTGAATTTTGTCAAAACCAGGAGCATCTAAAGTAACACTGGGACAGTGTTAAGGTACAGAGGCAGCAGCCTGAGGAGGTTCTCCACCCAGCCAACCTCACCTGGGCTGTGACAACTACAGCAGTAACGTGCCTCAACTTTCAAGTGTTCACAGACCTATTTCTTCTTTTACCCTCACTTTACAATGAGTATTCCTGGGGGAAGAGGAAATGACACACGGATATGCTGACACATGTATTTCTATAAATTAACACAAAATTTTAGAGACCTATTAACCAGATCGAATGTAATGTGAAAAAAAATTCTTTTCAACCTTTGCAAATGTAATAGCATGTTCAAACTCTAAAGAAGTGAGGAATACTTACATGGATACCTACCATATAGAAGGAAGCATTGAATTCTGAAGTACATATGTACGATCCAAAAATAAGAAAATGCTTCTGATCATTATCTGAAAATACATAAAGAAAGCATTTTTCTCTTCACCATCATGCGATATTTTAAATTATAAAGCAACTTGCAAAAAACTACTTCACATAAATCAGTAATTAAGATGCATGTCTATTTTCAAATTATACAGTGACTTGTACAGCCACTGGTAGAGAATTTATCAATGTTAATACTATAACAAAGCAGTATTGCCAAGTTCATCCAAGACAGTTTTCAAATTCCTAACCAGTAACTAATTATTTTATTAGCTTGTTAGGAGTTCTCCTGCTATTGAGATACATAAGCCATTCAAGCAATACCACCAAGACATTCAGTAAACACCCTGAAACAGCAATAGAGCCATGTTGTTTGCTTTTTTTTAAAGAAGATTTAAGCAGAGACAATAAGCTGTGCAACAGACCTTTCTGTAATAAGAGTTAGCTGCAAAAATTCATGAGAAGAATAGAGATATATTAATTCTAACAGGGGAAGGAAGGTATAAAAACATATCTTTTTTTAAAATTAAAAAAATAGGAGGAGGTGATTTTCTAGCTTATTACTCTTTCACATTCAAAATCCATTTTTAACTGTGCTCATAAAAAGGCTGCCTAACTTTGTTTAGCATTAGTGTAACTCAGGATGTCGGTAACTAACACACCCCCCAGCCAGCCACAGAAATTTCTATCCCCAGCTGCCCACCTACTCCTCCCCTAAAAGATTTCACTGCTTCTGAAGTAATTCTCAAGCTGACATAGTTTCTGCCCAAGCATATTAAATCACAAAAATCAGCAATGAGGCTGATTTTTTTTTTCTTAAATACCACAAGTGCTAACTCAGCACATGGTTAACGATTTGCTACAGGTCGTTGCTCTGAGGAGGAGAAAAAAAAAAGAGAACGCTCAAAAGCAATTACAGTGAACAGAGTTCATAGTAAAAGCCTTTCTAGAAAAACACTGGTCCAGTTTAATTAAATTTTCAAGGCAATAAACTTCAACTCTAGTTTCACCAGACTGTTGAATTTGCTTTGAATACTTTCCATGATACTTTCCATTTTTATTTCAGAAAGGAGTGGATTCAAGGAATGAAAATAGAAATTCAGCCATTTGGGGCATCTGCAGCCAAAACTAAGTGCCAATGCAACGAAAACTCACTGTAAAATGTTGGTTTAGAATTATAAGGGACAATTAGAATTACGAGGGCAATTCACACAGAGTGTCTCAGAAAGGATTTTTTCTGTAACATAATTCATTGTGGAGGTAGAAGGCAAGGGCAGAAAGGCAGTTTCAGTTCTCTAACCTTCCTGTTTCTTACACCTAGTCAAGCTGATCACCTCTGCTGCACAATTAAAAAAAAAAAGAAAAAAAAAGAAAAAAGTCACAAATTAACCTAGCTCTGGGAGCTATCTAGAGGCAAAGATTGTGGATTCTCTAATTATTTAAAATTGCCAACAGCAAGCAATTTCAGCATAGCCTGGTTAGTTTTTTCCACCAACAGAAAACAGGTGTCAACATATTTCTGAGTGATATTTCAACTAGATTTGAAACCTATGAAAGTCAGAATTAACAGAACTTAAAATTTCAACAACAAAAACAAAACCACCCCCACCTAGCAAAGGGGAGAGTGAAAACCAGTGCTGAAGCTTGGAGGAGGAGATGCAGCACAGCCCCAAGTTAAAACAGTGACAAACTCCTTTTTGCCAGATTTCACACCTCAAGTATATGTATTCTGAACAAACATTCGACTTACCATTTGTCTGCAATGATCTTGCCAGCATTTATTTATCTTCTTTAAAAATAAAAGACTATCCAGAGAATCTGTACAGCACCTATTAAGGAAAACTCGCTTGCCGGTATCTTTTGAGGCCACATTCTGGAGATGATCTTTGCTAGACATTAAGCAAAGCTGCTCCATGGATATTCTGATGTTACTGTGAGGGATAAATCATTAACTGCAGAGCTTCCACCCAGCAGAGGTGCTGGCAGTTCTCCAAAAGGCCTCCCGGTGTTTTCAAGAACACTCACCGCTCT